CCCTCCCTCCCCCCTTCTTTCCCTCCCTCCTTCCTTCTACAGCCCTGAAGCGAAGGGTGTCTAGTGTCTAATACCATATGTGAGCGTCACACCCACTAGGACGACTATAATATAAAACAACCAAACGGAAAATAACACCTGTTGGTGCAGATGTGGAGAAACAGACCCTTGCGCATCTGTCTCTGCGGGGAAATAAAATGCCGTGGTCTCTATGGGAACCAGCACGGCGGGTCCTCAAAAAGTTGAGCGTAGACCTCCCATGTGATCCAGCAGTCCCAGTGCTGGCCGCACCCCAGAGGATGGGAAGCAGGGGCCCAAGCACTTGCACACCCATGTTCACGCAGCACCACTCACAACAGCGAGAAGGCAGAACAAGCCAGTGTCCAGCAGCAGGTGAACAGAGGCGTGAAATGTGGCCGTCCCCACAATGGGACATTATTCAGCCACAAGGAAGGAAATCCTGGCCCCTGCTGCACCGGGAGGAACCGCGAGGACATTATGCTCAGTGAGACAAGCCAGTCACCAAAGGTGAAACCCTGTGTGATCCCGCTCACATGAACACGGGACCTAGGACAGGCGAAGTCAGAGAGACAGGAGGTACAGCAGAGGCCCGGGGCCGGGGAGCTCGTGCTTGACGAGGGGGTTCTGTCTGGAATAGCGAAGCAGCTCTGGAGGACAGGTGACCGCTGCACCGCGAGTGTCCCTTCTGGACTCCTCCCGGGCCTGTCACTGTGTGTGTGTCTCCCGCCTCCGGGGCAGTGTGCCCCCGAAGGCCCCGGGGAAGGGAGTGGCCATCCGATGGCAGCAGGAGCTGCTCTCTGGCTGTAGCTGGAGCGTGAGGGGAGGTCTCGGTGAGGGGTCTCCAGGAGGAACTGCTCGTTCTGCACAGAGGCTCCAGGCGTCGCCCGCCGCCCCGGGAATTCTGCCTTTCCCGAGTCCCAGGTGCCCGGTGAGCCCCTGGTGTTGCGTCTACAGACCGCAGAAACAGTGGCCTTGGGTCTGCAGGTGACGGGGCTCCAACCCCATTACAGTCAACGGGCCTGAGCAGCATTCAGAGCCTCCTGTCTGCCTCCAAGGGGCATCTAGAGAAGGGGAGGCTTCACCGCACTTCAGCCTTCCCAGGGGAAGGGACCTCCGCCCACAGGGAGGTGAGCACCGCGGGAGGTGGCTGGGCCTTCAGCACTTTCCCGAAGGACCATCTGACACACAGCGCGTGGCTCAGAGCTCGCCTCCCGAAGCACCCATCAGCACCCAGGGCTGCCTGCCCTCAGCTCCCGGGACTGGGCGGGAACTCACCGCTGCCTCTCCCGGAGCGCCGGCCGCTCGCTGGCATGACGGCCACGCTGACCAGGGCTGGGAGGGCTGGGCCTGCCTCCAGACTCACCGCCGAGTCCCCGCGCGCGCTCGTCACGGA